ACTCTGAAGATCTTTCTAAAGGAATGGTGGGCAGTACCTTTCCATTTAAAATACAAACTCCTTTCTATTCAACAATCTGTCTGCTGGATATTTATCATATGTGCATCCTCTAATTAGCAGATTAAAATAAGCATGTATGTTTTACTATGGCTTATAATAGCAAAAGCCTAGAAAACACCAAGGGCCTGTCAGTAAAGCACAGTGCATCCATACAGTGGGGTAATAAACAGCAGAAAAAGAATGAGATGGGCCTCCACGTGCTGATGAAGAAAACCTTCCAAATACATCAGCAATGAAAGCAGAGCATGTGTGTCTCTGTTGAGTTGCTAAGTGGTGCCCAACTCTTTGGCAACCCCATGGATTTGTAGCCTGCCAGGCTCCTCTATCCAGGCAAGAATACTGGAGGGGATTGCCATTTCCTTCTCCAGGGGATCTTGCTGACCTAGAGATCAAACCTGAGTCTCCTGTATTGGCAGGTGGGTTCTTTACTGCTGAGTCACCAGGGAAGCCCTGTGTGTGTCTCTCAACACAACTAAATAATCATTTTTTAAAATTCTGGAGAAATGCATGAGAAATTTAAAAGTGGTTGTTTATGAAAAGCAGGACTGAGAATGTGACTATCATATTTATTTTAAGCTCTTCTGTACCAGTTATTTCTACTACGTACACTTATTTACTATTATTTTATTAATAAGAATAGCAACTATATGCAGTATTTTCTGTATGGTCTGGAAGCATCTAGCTGCTCTCTGCAGGAGTACAACAGCAAGCATCCTTCCCCCGCCCCGACCATAGGGGAGCCACCGTCTACTCAGTGCTTAAGTCTACTTAACCATCCATCCCCAACCAGTCCAGGAGCCTTCAGAGGTTGTTAAAGTTCCTGTTCTTAGTCCCTCCTTTCTCCTTGGTGTGGCTTACATGCACGAGTATGAAGAAATTTTAATTTTTGCCCTTCCAGTTTTAGATCTATAGCATCCTTCTCTGAAAAGTTAACTTGAAGAAGAAAGCATAGTTACTCTACTGCAAGAGATACCAAAGAAAAATCAGTGTTTCCTCTAGTGCTCTTTATTATATAATTACATTACCAAAACAAAATCAAGGAAACAAAACTGTTTTCAAATTTAAAGCATAGTACACTCCATTCTGCCACATCTAATGAGAACCAGAAAGATCGTCCAAGAGGCTTTCTTCCCAATCTTGTATTTGCCTGTCTTAAAAATACTAAATAGTTCTTTCATAAAATTCCTTTCACAAGAGAAACTCAACTACACTAAAGTTGAAAAGATGAAGTGAAATCTACATTCAACTTATTTGATATTAAAGATCTTAAAGAGTATTTGAACATTGTTTTGTTCTTATTCCATCAAAGAAATAATTCCAAACCCACAGAAGAAGGGCAAGAAAAAGAAAACTCACAGGAAATCATGCCTCTGTTTTCCCTATTACTTGATCTTGTACTTGAGGTGAGGAAGCTACTTATTTAGTATCAAGTGACCTTTCCAAAGTGTATAAAACAATCCCCATATTACTTTTCCTTTGTCAGAAGATTGCAATAAAAGGCATTTGCTAAAATTTATTTTATATATCAATTCATAATTTTTTAATTTTGCTGCTCAATATAGGAAAGCCAAATATCTATTTGAGAAAATCTAGTAACTACTTGGCTGAAAATGTGCCCCACTAAATCTGATTTTATATAAGCATTCTGACCCACCCATCCTCAAAAAGAGACTTCATTTTTGTTTGGGGGGCTGTGTAAAAGTAATTAGTGAAATGAGCAAACTATAGCCTGGTGCACTGAGCTGTCTGTGGTACTGAAAAATGACAGCAAAGCTGAAATGTACTGAGCTAAGTCCTTACAAAGCCTCCCTATCGCACTATTTTAATTCAAGCACTTCTATCCATGACTCACCTGAACCATTTAATTTTGACAGACTGTGTATAAACATTTTATAAAAGGTCACACTGACTTGCTTTCCAAGGTTCTTCATGGAAATGTCAGGGCCTCTCCAACCTTTGTGAAAGAAGTTCTAGTGGACAGCCAGACAGAACACTGGCTATAACACTGACTTTTTCTGAATGCAGTGAGAAATCCTATCATGTACCAAAAACCCATACTAGCTAGCTCTCACTACCCAATCAACTTACTGCTGTGCTAACAAGAAAAAGACAGAGTGTCACGTGAAGACTGTATGCTATGTCCAAGAGCATGCTCTGAATGGTGGCATGACCCCGACATTGAGTTCTGTAACTCAAAGCTAATCATACACTTGGAATTCTTAGTAATAAACTGAGAAGTACCTATTTGCTTAAAATTTATGAAAGAAGCACAGCTATACCGATGACATCAGTAAGTTAAAAAGACCACACTTCATCACTTTCCACACATGGATACATTAGCCTGTGCACTTGACTTCACTGTGTTTCAGAGTGAAGTATTTCAGAAGCAATCACAGACTCTACTCTCTGGTTGAATTAGAACATGTTTTTGTGGTTCTTGATTTCTAGCTCAGGGTCTCCATATTTCTTTGGTCCTTCTCCATTTTCTATTTTTTTTAAAAATGCAGCTCAGATAAAATTTGTAACTTTAGCTGGAAGAAAAAAAACTTTCAAGATTAAACAGTAATAGCTACATCCAAAACAACCAAATGATATCACCCGAGCATCTAATTTAAAATTATCTTAAGTGTGGTTGGTTTGGTAGAAATCATGTATCACCAATTTTAAAAAATCTTAACTTTTTGTGATGTTTATGCTGCCCCAACAGTAAAGAGGTTCACTGTGCTTATAACCTTTAGGTGCAGAATTTGTGTCTTCACTTTTAACACCTGTGCTATATACATACTCTAATCAATATATCTATGCATTTGTATAACAGAAATTATCCTCAAAATTAGCCAGGAGTGGAATTCTTTCAAGTGTAAAATGATCTTTAAAAATATGGTTTCTTTTATTTGTATTACTTTAAGTTTCAACAGTGTTATCAAATATGATCAAAAATTTTTTTATAACACATAATTAACATCCGGCCAGTGTTTGGACTTCTGAAACTCTTATTATAAGTTTTTCAAAATAATTTCCCAATAATTCTTAAAAAATGAGTGCTTTCAGGAAGACAGTTTGTTCTTGGTATTAATACGATCAGATGTTCTTCACCATGAGTGTCTGTTCAGCTGTTTGTTTTTCAGAAGGAACAGGAATAATCTGAAAGCTGATGTCTAACTAAAAAAAACCCAAAAAACAAAAAAATAGCAAGGTCTCTTTCCAGCCTAGATTAAGTAAAACTACAGTAGTCTTAAAAAAAAAAATTACTTGACTTTCATAAATACCTACGAAGATTTTACAGAAACCTTTTAAGTTTAACCCAATTCAAATATCAAACTTTTGGATTTAGAGAGGAACCACGGACAAAGACACGTCATGTTTCAGGGCTACTGATAAGCAGCCGCAGAGCGCAGCAGAAAGCATGACGGGTGGGTGCTAGGAGGACAGAGCAGTCACGCTCCGCACTGGCTAGCCATGGGATCTGGCAAGCGGGTCACCTCTTCTGATCACAGGTTTCTCATCTGTAAACCAAGTCAAATGGCCATTAGACCTAGTTTGTTCCCCAGCCTTAAGCATTTTTCTTTGTCACAATGAAAAGATACTTTTATGTTCAAGTTACATTTCAGTATTACTTTAAAATATTCAAAGAATCTCAAAAGCCCATGATCACGAGTGTTGAATTAAAGATGGACCTGTGTAAATTATTCAAATTTTAGAGTTCAAATGTGCTTGCCTTCTTTTGCCAGTACAGTCTTCTTACTTACCTCTAGATATTCTTACTCCTTCTAATTCTCCTTCTCTATCCTCATTCCTTCAACTTCACACTTTTCAAAGTCTTTGCAAAGTTGAAAGCATGCTTATGTAATTTTTCCATCCTCATGTAGGATCAAGTGTATCTTTATTTTGACTGGGTAGTAGTTAAAATTGGTTTCTTCTACTGTTTTTGTGAATTACTAACTTTAATTTAATTTATAATTAATTAAATATAATTTAAATTTAACGGCAACTCCTAAAGGAAAGCACGCTAAATTCAAGAGTTTAATAGTTTGGCCAAATAAATAACAGCTAATCAAAAAAACCCAGAAAGTACATATTAGTGTAAGTCGTAAACAGGAAAATCCCAATCTTTCTAAATTTTTGAAAACTAGTTATTTTATTCACTAACTTTAATATGCTGTTGACTAAAAGTTACAGCAAAGTAAAAATCCAAAAGGTGACCCATGAATTTATATCAAATATTCTGAAATCGCCAGTTATTGGTCATATCTAACAACAGAGTTCCTGGCTGCATTTAAACAAACATTTTCCTAAGAAGTCCACTCACAAGGGCAGTGGCCTTTGCTCTTAAGTGACATTTGAAATAATAAATGTGCCTAAACATCTACTAAACTACCAGATATACAGAATTTGTATTCTAAATTCACAACAGATTCTTTCTTTAATGTTAGGGTAAGATATAGAAAAGGTCAGAATTCTCCTCTTGCCTTATTAATACACATTAGCAAGGAATATCCCAGTAGTATTTTCTTCTCTAAGCTACAGTTAGCTATGGAAGGTGATACAGATAGGCACAATCTTCCCTAGTGACCCATCCATCTTGTTAAATGTGTATTAAAGGAGAATACTCAGCTACCCTACAGATGAAGGCTAGTGCTTAACTGGCCTTAAGGAAAGCAAATGCAATGACAGGCATGGAGAAGTGGACCTACCTAAAGAAGAGGAGGGGGGGGGGGAGTCTGAGGTGTAACAAGCACACCCTGGAAACTACTGCAGATTTACATGCTGCACTGTTTGTTTTGCTTTCAACTTCTTGAAAGAACAGGTCAGGTGCTAAGGTAAGAACACAGCACGTGTCTTCTGTACCCTCAGGCAAGGACAGGAGAGCTCGGAAAAGCGTCGGCTGCCTTGCACTTCCCCAGGCTGGGGTCATTCATAAACAGCAGAGACTAAGTTACCTGTATTTCCCTGGCGTGGTACACGATGATCAGACCGAGCAGGATGATCGTGGACAGACTGATAAGGCATTTCAGAGCTAAGGAATACAGCGACGCCTGCAACAAAGACAGAAGCACTTTTTAAAAAGAAGCACTTTTAAGCCCTGGGGGTTCGGCCAACCCCCAGCAATGGGATCTGAGCTCCCAGGGGAAGGATGGAGGTAGGGGCAGCTGTTCTGGCTCTGCGATCTGTCAGGAAAGTGAGGAGATCAGGAAAAGCCGAGCAGCAGCGGCGGGGTCCGCAACTACACGGACCCAAGTGCAGCTGTGGCTCTCGAAATGAAATCCACGAGGAAGTCAGCTTTGAGTTTAAGCCACTGGGTTTGAAAGAGACCTCCTAAATCGTGAGCCCCAGGAGAGAAATAAAAGCATGCTCTCCCGCACGGAGTCCTGAAGTCACTTCTTTAAAATACCCAAACTGGCGGGGCATTCACTCCCTCCAGAACTTTGGCTGCGCGCGGATATAGCTTCCTCTCCAGACTAGGCTTAAGGGTGCGAGTTGGGGTGGCACTCGCCCTCGCGGCGGACATCTCCGGTTGTCAGGGGAAGGCTCGGGACTGGCAGGCTGAGAGTTCCCGCCAGCGACCACCCCGACCACCCGGCGTCCGGCTCTGCGGCCCGGGACCGGTGGGCAAAGGGCTCGAGCACCTACCTTGTCGTAGGCGCCCCACGACAGCTCGGTCTCGATGACCATAACCACGATGCCGAACATGCCAAAGATGAGCGCGTAGTCGCTGAGCCGCTTGCGCTTCTCGAACAGGGCGCGCCGGTGGCCCAGTTTGTAGCCGATGTTCTGGTTCTTCTTTTTGCTGGACTTGGTGCCACTGCTGCTGCCATGCCCGCTGCCGCCGCCGCCGCCGCCGCCTCCCGTGCTGCCTCCGCCGCCGGCTCCGTAGAGCGCCAGGTTATTGGAGTTGTTGTGCTCCGGCTTGGACACCACGATCTCCGGGGCTGAGGACGAAGCGGCGGCGGCGGCGGCGGCGGCCGCGGCTGCAGACGGGGAGGACGCGCCGCCACCTCCTCCGACAGACACCGGGGGCTGTAGGGGCTGCGCCTCGGAGTCCATCTCGTGCAGGTTCCGGCGGGACGCGCTCAAGTTGCTGAGCGGCCGCATGACGCCCCCGTTGTACCTACAGCTGCTCATGGCTATTTCGGTGAAGGGGTTGCTCTCGCGGCGCGCCTGGGGCTGGTGGTGCTGGTGGGGCGCCGGGTGCGGGGGGTGGTGGTAGTGCGAGAGCGGGGGCCCGGAGCCCAGGCTGCCGAGGCTGCCCGTGGGGCTGGCGGCGGGCTGCAGGCTGTGGCACTGGCGGTGCTGGGAGGCGGACGCTGGCTGTTGCGCGTACTGCTGCCGGAGCGCACTGGCATGGCTGGACGGCGTCAGCTCGCTCACATTGAGCTGGCTGCCCCGGCGCGACGAGCAGCAGCAGCAGCACGACGAGCCCGACAGCGGCGAGGAAGTGCGGGTCCGGAAGGCGCCGCCGCCGGGCGAGGAGGTGCGGAGCAGCAGGGACAGGTTATCCCCCGCCCCCGCCCCCGGGGCACCGGAGGAGGCGCAGCTGTTGCACCGGAGGCATGGGCTGCTGCCGCCGCTGCCCGGCTGCTGGTGCGCGAGGTGCGGGTGGTGGTGAGGCTGCGGGAGGGGCGCGAAGGGCGCGCACGGCTTGTCCTGGCTCTGCTGCTGCTGCTGGCAATGCAGGTGCGAGGAGCGCGACGGCGGCGGCGGCGGCTCCGAGAAGAAGCCGCGCTGGAACTGCAATGGGGTTTCCATGTCAGGGCTGTTAAAGCTGCAGGGAGACCAGGCGGTGGTGCACCCTGCGCAATGCGTTATGGTCGGGAGCGGAGACTCCGGCTGCTGGTGCGAGGAAGGGCCCATGCCGGCTCCGGTAGAATCCAGGCGGCGAGTCCGATTGGTCGGGCGCACCAAAACAATGGGCATGACATCACCTGCGGGGACCGAGACTGAGTTTGCGGCGCGAGGTTTAGGGGAGCATGTGTGTGTGAGGGAGAGATGGGGAGGGGGGGGATCTGCAGGATGAAAACCCTAGGGCGCTCAGGCTAGGACGGGGGGAGGGCGAGGGTTCCACTTGCTGACGATCGGGGACTACCCTTGAGCCCCACGAGGGCTGGGGAGTGCAGCGGGTTTGCAGTGAGAGGGGAAAGGGTAGGGGCGTCCCTCCTTCCCGCGCCACTGCCCCCCAACTGTTGCCGGACGTGCAGTCTCGATCACCTGCCCGGGCACTGCAGCACGTTGGGCCACCCCAGCCAGGGCGTCAGGCGAGGGATCGGTGCGGAACCCGGGGCCACTCCTTCACCGGCATGCACGCCTCTTAGGAGCTGCGGAACAACAGCCCCCTCGCCCCACGCCTACGTCTCCCTGATTGTCCTGCTGAGAGTGGGCTGCCAGCTACCCGCCAAATAACTATGGGGACACCCACATTGGAGAGAAAAGGTCTGATGGCTAGCTGAGCCAGTGCAGCAAGTCTTGGTGAGAACCCCGGCGCCTGAGCCGCAGGTTGGCCGCGGCGAGATCCTAACGGCCTCCGAGCCCTAATTTTCCCCCGCCGCCGGACTTCGGAGCCTGGTAGTAGGGATAGGCTGCGCGGTGCTCTCGCTCTAGTGCGCTGCGGCGCAGCAAGGGTTAACCGCCTCGGTGCCCGGGCCGGGGAGGATGGGGGCGGGGCCGGAGGAGGGGATCCCCTCCGTCCTCCGGAGGAGCTCGATTGGGCTTCCCGGGTTCCCCTGGCGGGGGTGGAGGGCTTTCCCAGCTACCGCCGCTCACATTTGCGCCTTCTGCGGAACATGAGGGGCTGGCGCCCTCGGCCGCCGGGTCCGGGGTTACGCGCTCCGGCCCTTTGGCCACTCCAGTGGATAGGCCCGTGGGCTTTTCCTGACTTGGAGAGGACGCTCGCTTGAGGGTCTTGGGGGATGCTCAGCGACCGCCAGCCACCACCAGCTCGTCTTCCGTTCCTCTTCCTCCTCCCCACCTGCAGCACAGAGACAAAGCAAAAGGCGGATCACTGACGCGCGAACCCGAGCACCTTCTGTGCGGGACTGCGGCGGGCGGAGAGGGGCCTGGCGCGCGCTGATTCCACCGTCTGTCATCGCTGGCTGGGACAGTACCAATAATGAGAACTCGGGCTGAATAATAGTTACTTAGGGACAGTATTGGAGCTTTGCTCGACTTAGCTATAATACTTATTTGCTAATAAATCAGTAAAAATTACGTTTTTGTGTCTCCCAAATTTCCCGTGATGCGTCTTCATTTTAGGCGATATATTTCCCTAACACAAGGCGGCAGGGGAACCTTTCACGGGTTCTTTGTTACTGCTCCATCTTACGTCTTTGTCGTTTGTATTTCTCTGTCAATTGGGATTCCCATTTCCAAAAAATGGAATGAAATACACTGGCCGGTTGAATATTTACTTTTTAAATTGTAATTTTAAAGCATGATTTTTATGAGAGAAGTTATAAAGAGTTAGACTGACCAAGAAATTAAAGTGAAAGCGGATCACCTTCATTAGGTAATTGATATTCTCAGCTGGATCCAGTTTCTTGACATTCTACTCGGCAGCTGCCCTAAAGTTGCTTACAAGGTACCCGCTCCTAAGACAGTGTGTGTGTTTCAATGTTATGGAGTGAATAATTCATTTTAGGATATCCTTTGGACATGAGTTAAACAATTTTAAAATTTTTTGTGCATGCAAGCAAACAAATCCAGGAGAAAAAAAAGGAGAGTGTTGCTTTTAGTCCCAGAGAACTTGCATTTCTTAGAAGTCTTGGTCAAAAATAGAATTTGAATGGCTAAAAGCTGGAGGCAGCATTTTATTTTTATATTCTATTATTATTTATGGCAATTCAATAACACATTTAGAATTATTAAGCTCATAGAATCTTTGGGGTAACTGAGTAGATCTGCATGAATTGTGTGGTGAGCATGACTTCTAAAACCAATTCTAATGAGTAATTTGAAATTACAACAAAAGCTTCCAAATTAAAATTTTTTCACCTTCTGGTGTGAAGTAAAATTCAACTCAAGCACAAAATTCATAATATATTTATTTTCACTTTGTAATGAATTGTATGACCTCCTTCTAGTTGTTACACATAGCTGATTTATTGAAAAAGTTTGATTCATCCTTCCAAATCTAAATATATCAAATATATTTATCATGGTAAATTAATATTCTCATTAGCCTTTTGTAAATTTAAATGAAAGACTACATCAATACCCTCTCCAAATATAATAATTGTTACCACACTAAACTGTTATAGATTTAGATATGTTTCTAGAGTTATTAAAATGTTGATTTTAAAATGACTGCCCCCAAAAAAGCAATATCTGCATCTTTTGTTGTCAAACTGACTTTCTCAAATAGCAAATTCAAAGCTTCAAATAAGTTCTGCAAACAAAATAACAAGGAAATAAATATTGTATATTTTGTCTAGTACAAGATTAGGTGCAGTCCCTTTAATCAGGTAGAAACAAAGACTCTTGAGATTTAAGGAGGGTTGGGAGGAAAGGATGCACAAGATAAGAAAGAAATGGAGATTTTGCACATAACATGAGGAACCGTAAGAATAACAAAACTCAAATTATCAGTGCTTCCACTTAGTACCTTGCAAAAGCTCATGAAACAATATGAAACCCACTGTGATTGGAGAAAGACAAAAGCAAGAGTTAGTCAGATATTTATCATCTTTCTGTTTCAAGGAATCATCTATCACACACACTCAAAAATTCTTCTTGGTAATAAACATCTGTATTTGGAGAGTATGATAATCCACTATTAGTATGATGATGAAAAATGACAAGATCTCACAATAAGTTTCTGTTTTAGTCTGAATCCTCAAAACATTATTGTTTAGGACATTTTAAACTATTGGGTTATAACAGGGGCACATTTAAGGATTTCTTTTCATCAACCTCTTCTTTGTAAAATTAACAAACTGATTTCAAGTTTATATGTAAACTTTTCATATAGCTTACCATCATTTTACTATTTTTCTTCCTATATGGGATTATAGATGTACCATATAAAGTTAAGTAGTCAGAGCAACAAAGATTATATTCTTTCACATGGGCAGTAGTTCACACATAGTAAATACTCATTTTTATTTGTGAGAGTGAGGAGGGAAAGAGAGAGGGAGGAAATAAAAAGAGGTTGAAAGCAAGGTCACAATACAAGGGCTTGCAACCTCCAATAATAAGCTCTTGGAAAGTTGCATTTGCTTCTCTTTCTGTCATTAAGATGCATAAGTGCTGGAAATTTCTCTAGTTTAACACCAGAGGTCATACTCATCCACAAAATAGATTTCAAATCCTATCATTTAAATGCCCTTTATTTTCTAGTGTCATGTTCTTATAAAAATTACCTGTTTTTTTTTAACCTTATGGGTTAGAAAGATTGCTTTTTCTTATTTGTTGTATTTCAAGCTGGTGAACAGACACATATAATAACACTCCCAAAGCACTCCACAAACAACTTAATAACGGTCTCAGAAGGATGATTTTCCCAGACCGTGGGGGCTTGGGAAAAAGCTCCAGGTCATTTGCACTTAATCCTTTACTTTATGCAGATTTATATTATGCCAACAGTTTTGTTTTTGTCTTTAATTCTCTTTTTCACAGGAATCACTAGTCTATGCTATCTCTGCTTCTTATAAAAAGCAGGACTCTTGAATTTTGATGTTTCTTGTCTATTGGAAAAGGCTGTCAGAACAGTGGATGCAGGCACCAGGGCATCTGTTTGCCACACAGCGCTCTGAGAGATTCTTCGACCTACAAAGTAAGTGTTTTTCTGAGATTTTTCTTTGTCTTTGCCCGGGTGAGTAAATTATTTGATGGTGCCAACCACAGAAGTTGTAACAAGACACAGCCTCTTTGAACTTAGTTTGCTTAGCATTTGATGCAAATGGGGACTTGGGAAAATATCAGAGTTGTTCTCTCAGCACAACGACAATTCTTTGTTTCCTGACACATTTCACTAAAAAAACTTATTTTTAAACCATATATTGTTCCCAAGTCATAAGAAATGTACATTTGAAGAAAACAGTAAAATATCTTCATGTATTGTATTCTTTATGCTCCCACATTATTATTAGAAAGTATCAAGACCTGAATGAGCTTGTTGATGATAGTCTTGTTAATTTTTAGTAATACCACTATTATTCAGGGATTAATTATACTGTTAGGACTTATTCATTAACATCTTAACATTTCCATTTGTTTTACTCTCATCCTTGCTTCCTACCATGTCTCAGCTAATCACCATATCTATAAAAGTCTCAGTTGTGAAGGAAAAAAAAAGATAGAAGCTATACTAGTTTTGCAAGTATAATTGAATGATGTTACATAATTAAATAGGTGAACAGGTTGAAATTATTGACTGTGATAAGTCTTTTAAAAATAGTCTATGGATTACAGAAACAAATATACCTGGGCAGCTAGAAACACATATTTGAGCTAACAAGTCATAAAAAAGACTTATTGAATAGCACATTCTAGTTTATAAAGCAGTTTCGCATGTGTTACTTTATTTTCATCTCTCAAGCACCCTTACCCCAAGGCAGGGCAGTTCTTAGGATAATTTCTGCTTTACAGGTAAGGATAATCCTGAAATGGGGCACCTGGGCTACCCCAGGTCATGCAGTTACTGAGTAGCAGGAAAAAGCTAGCCCTCAAATAAGCGTCTCTCCGAGTCTGTCTGGTGAGTTTGGTTAACACTCTCGTAGCCCTTCCTGCAGAGTAGAAGGATGACCTCTTGACTGTCTGCTCACACTGGCTGGCACCCACCAAAAGTCGAGGAGCAGAGAGCAGAGCTTGTTGTTACCATTCACCGTCTTTGAACGACCGCATGGACATGTCCTCCCTGGCTTGACTGGGATTCTGAGATTCTCAACTACTGACATTTTGTTAACTTCATTTGATCAACAGAA